AGATGATCAAAGTCCTGGAGACTAAAACATATGAAAAACAGCTGCAGGATTTGGGTCTGGCTAGTCTAAAGAAAAGAAGAATTAGGGGTGACATGATAGCAGTATTCCAGTTTTTGAGGGGCTACCACAAAGAAGAGTGGATCAATTTATTTTCCAAAAGCATTGGAGGGCAGGATACGAAGCAATAGTTGGAAATTAATCAAAGAGAGAAGCAATCTGGAATTACGGAGAAACTTCCTAACAGTGAGGACAATTAGCCAGTGGAATAGTTTGCCTTCAGAAATTGTTGGTGCTTTGGGACTTCCAGCTGACCTCGTGGTGATATCGGACGTGAGGAGGAGGTCTCCGCACGCCGAGTTCTCCCTGTTGGAGGGGTCCAAAAGAAGCTAAAGCCACCCTGTAGGGGTGGTGAAGAAAAGAGGGGCTCCCTGCAGTTTAGGGAGAGCAGCAACTTTCCTGCTGGACTCAGGGCTTCTTCCCTCTCCCTCAGACAGCTGAGGCAACAAAGAAATGTGCAGAAGTGGTGCAGATAAACAGTGATTGGAGCTGGGTGAGAAGATTCCTTTTTAGTTAGACCCCAACTTTAAAGAAGAGAAGAAAGAGACTCTCAGGACTATCTTTTAAAGTGGCAAACTACCATAGAGAGAAAAATCCTAGACCTGAAAGAAAAGGAACTACGGGGAGAAAAGCTAAAGACCTTTTAAAACACAGAAAATTGGACTTTTAAATTGGGCAAGTGTTGATTTGGAAAGGCATTATAAAATGCTGGACTAGCTACTTGAATCTATTTGAATAGTTGACTTTGCTTCCATAAATTGAATTAAATTTGGATTAATTAAATCTACAAGACTTGAAACAACACTGAGACTTAAGCTGAGGACGTCATCTACTGGTGAAAGGAATATACCAGACCCCTACAAGTTTAGAAATACCTTTTGATGAGAGGAATAAATAACATTCATCTGTAGGACTCTGGTGACATTTACTGTTCTATAACTAGCTACTGTATGATTACTGGAGACTCTATTATGAGAATAAGGAAGACTTTTAAGTAAAGCAAAGTGATTTTTGACTTGCGGAAGCTTCCTAGATTACTTAAATGGAATTAATAATCCTGAGATGTAAAGGACTATGATTATTGAACTTTCTGAGGAGTAACACTGGACTGGAATACATTGCTTTTGGACTTGAGTAAGAGCGGGACTTATTAAATTAAGACAAGGTGCTCCATCAAGGGGAAAGGAGTGAGATTTTAAGAGAAATGGTGTTGATGTTTCAAAGCATTTGGGGTATATGGAAAAGAACCACAGAGAGATAAAGTTCCTAATGCAAAGCATATATGGGAAAATAGAAAATATGCTACAACTGATGATGAATGAAGTTCAAAGAGTCCAGGAAAGAGAGGAGATAGAAGAAAGAACGGAAGAATGGATAAACTGGAATATACTTTTGAAAGAGAATAGGGGCTTGGTGGATATTTTGGAGACCTGGCAGCTTAGGAGGATAGAGATGGGAGAAATATACAGTCAGAATGGTGAAGATACAGATGATGATAGACAGAAAGATCCAAGAGAGGAGTATGGGCGGCAAGCCAAAAAAATGAATAAGAATTATTAAAATGGATGAGATTGGATGGCTAGAAAGTGTGTGTGTGTGTGTGTGTTAATACTAAGTTTATATAGTATGATGAATATAACAACTATTATGATTATCATTATTGATGTTTGTATCAAAATGAATTATACCCGGGGCCACACTATTCATGTATTGATGTCTATTTAGAAATAAAAATCTAATAAAACATAAAAAGAAAAAATCATGGGTTCTCCATCACTGGGTATTTTTAAGAGACTGGACAGTCACTTATCTGAAATGGTATAGATTCTCCTGCTTGAGCAGGGGGCTGGACTAGAAGACCACCAAGGCCCCTTCCAGCTCATTCTATTCTATTTTGAACACCCAAGACCTGGTAATCTTGGGCCCATATCTGAGACCCTGGCACTTAAGAATCTGTAGTTTCTGTTCAGATCCCTGAGCTGTGTATTGGTAATTTTCCTGCCTTTTAAGCACATCAAGAATCTACACAGTTTTCCGGTAGAAAAAGTCCTCCTCAATTTCTTCATTAGCTAGCCCTCTACTGTCTGTTTTCAAAAACATGCAACAACAGATCCTCAGCAGTGGACCCAAGGAGCTAATGCAATTCCTCCCTCCCCTCCACCAGAAAAAAAACAACTGTTGAAGTCACCAACCTGGAAGTACTGCACAGCAGATGATTCCTCTGTGCGCTCACTGAACACTGACTGCTCCATGTTGTGACCTCGGCAATTTTTCAAAATATTATAAAATGAGCAGAAGTCTAAAGATAAAGCCAAACAATGATTTTCAGAGTTCAAATGACATTGTTCCAATTACATCCAAAAAGGGTACAAACAATTTGGTTAGAGATGTAATCCAATATCTGGTGGTATCTAATTATTATGGGAACACTTGCCCAGGATTTTTCTCTAGGTACATTCAGGTTATGTGATACAGATAGTCCTCGACTTATAGCAGTTTGGTGACCATTCAAAGTAAAACAGCACTGAAAAAATGTGACGACTGTTTTTCATAGTTACTCTGCAGCTCCGCGAAGGGAAAAATGTTGAGAAATGTCACGTGATGGCAAAGTGATCCCACGAGTTTGACACCCGTGGTTTAGAGCACTTTGTCAGAAGAGCAGCCAATTGAATCCTACAAGGAAGCCATCAAGCAAGACATGATTACAGAAGCATTCTCTTTGCCTCAGTGATGCAATGATTAGAGTGCTGTACTGCAGGCCACTTCTGCTGACTACTAGCTGCCTGCAATTTGGCAGTTCAAATCCCACCAGGCTCCATGTTGACTCAGCCTGCCATCCTTCCAAGGTGGGTAAGATGAGGTCCCAGATTGTTGGGGGCAATATTCTGACTCTGTAAAATCGCTTAGAGAGGGCTGTAAAGCACTATAAAGTGGTATATAAGTCTAAGTGCTATTGCTATCCCCATGACAATGTGACCAGAATTCAGGATGCTTGGCCACTGTCCTTTGCTGTCTCCCAGAGTCATGTGATCTTTTGCAACCTTCTGACAAGCAAAGTCAATGGGGAAGCCAGATTCACTTAACAACCAGGTTAACCACTTATCAACTACAGTGATTCACTTAACAACTGTGGCAAGAGAACTCATAAAAATAGGGCAAAACTCACTTAACAAATGTCTCACTTAACAACATAAATTTTGGGCTCAACTGTGGTCGTAAGTTGAAGACTACCTATACTTATTTCTAAGACTAAATCACTTCATTTATTTACTGGATTTATGTCTTGCTTTTTTTTTTTTTGCTTACTCAAGGCAGTTAGAACATTTCAAATAAAAATGCTAAATTTAAATATAGCATTCAGAACAACAGATTAAAAATCAGTTAATGTGGAAGTGATATGTTCTCCATTTCACAAAATTTTCCTCTCCAGGGAGAGCATCCATAGTCAGTGACAAGAAATGAGACAAACAAGCCACTATCAGCAGGGCATCTTTTTCAAAAAGTCTTGCTGATTTCCATGAACATGCATATACATTGTAAAACTTGTGATCCTTGGAGAGGCTCAAACCCTAAGCTGTGTGGGGCTTTAAAGGTCAATATCATCACATCATTTACGCCTAAGAAGCAATCAGCAAGGAGGAGAGATTTTTCCAAACAGGTATCATACCATTCCTATACTTTCCACTGTTTAAGGAATATATTTTGGCCCAACTGCAATTCTTAGACACTTCTCAAGGGGTATCTAACATACAGCATGTTACAGTAGTTAAGCACAAGGATGTAACTAAGGCATAGATAACTATAACTATGTCTAAATCATTGCTGCAAGGATCCCAGCTGGTACCCTAGCCACATCTATGCCAATGTGGTCCAGGTCACAATAATCAGCCGTGAATCCAATGACAATTGAGCATCAAGGAGCATCTTTAAACTGGGCATCTTTCTGTAAATCACATTTTCATTAAAGTTTTCAATACTAGCTCATGCTTATAAATGGCAGAATTGTTTGCAATTTCTTCACTAATGCTACATGTATGTTTAGTTAATTTTTGGATAGAAAAAATAGAATGTACATTTTTATGTAACAAATATAGGTGAATAGTATTACAGTACATGCATCAAAAATCTTATATTCATGTTTAATTTAAATTAAGTACAGATAACTGTCCATAATAATGTTACAATTTTAACATGATAAACAAAATTTTGTCTTTTGGTTTTCTCACAAATATCCTTTCTCTTATGTCTTAACTTTTCCAAATATTCCAGCAACTGTCCAACCTGTCCACTAAATACAGTACAAGTATCAAAGGTTTAAAATTAAAATTTAGACAAGAGTTGGGCTAAACATTGCATGACTTTGCCACTTGATGGTCCAAAATTTCTATTAAGGAGAACAAACAGCAGATGATGTCATAGCAGAGAATGTCAGATTGAATTATTTAACAGCACAGATGTTATCCATCCTGAAAATGCTACGTGTTGGCAAAGCATAGAATTATTTACCAGGGCAATATTCTGTTTCTCAAAACTTCAAATACAACTCACAATAGTTAGTACATACCACTTGGCGTTGCAAATTGTATAAGGACACTATTGCATCCCAATGTGATAATGAAGGACTGTTTTCCCACTCGGCTGCATTCTGTCTCCTTTGATACAGAACACTTGAATACACAAACATCATCTTCTAGGAAAGAAAAGAGAAAAAAAAACAATGATTCATCAACCCTTAAAGATTTTGCTTTTTTCAAGATGGAGAAAGCCATTCTGGACCATTCCTATTTTCCAAACTGTCAGATGCGAAATCCACAAATTAGAATAGGAGCAGATTATCTCCTTCATATACTCCTGAATCTCATCATTCGGGGTCATGTTAGACCTGCTCATAGGGGTAGTATGTGATCATGACCAGTAGCACTAGCAATACCACTTAGACTTCTATACTGTTCTGCTTCGTAGTACTTTATAGCACTGAGTGATTTACAAATGTCAGCATAGTACCCCCCAAAATCTGGGTCCTTATTTTACTGACCTCGGAAGGATGGAAGGCTGAGTCAACCTCAAGCTGGTCAGGATCTAATTCTTGACTATGGGCAGGGTTAACCTGCAATACTGCATTCTAACCACTGTGCCACCTTGGCCCCCTACAGACTATTTCAAAGTTGCTTTTAGATTTTCTGTAGAAGTGAGAAATTACTAATTTTTTAGCTTCTTATTCCCGATATGTGACAAAAAAATTCCTATTGGCAGTTTCTAGAAATGTTCAGAAAAGTGAGCGGACATCTTTCTAATAAAGGGGAGTATTTGTAACTCATGGTTGAAATGAGGGGTCCTTGGTGCTCTATGAGCTTGGTTGTTTTCTTTCAGATGTTTCATTATCCAAACTAGGTAATGCCATGACTAGCACTGATATTACTTACTTTGGGTAATGAAACATCTGTAAGAAAACAACCAAGCTCAAAGAGACCAAGACCTATCAGACATCAAATCAGTGAAAAACACACTGCCTTTCTCTCCCCTTTATATCCTCGCCTCAGGCCCCTTTTTCCTTGCATCTAAAATCTATAGTTTTTTCTCTCAACCTCTAATCTTAATCTACTATCACAGGATCTTCAACCCTCGGGTTGCGGACTGGTATCAGTCCCAGTCCCCGGCCTGTTGAAAACTGGGTCATGCAGTAGGCAAATAGGGGAAGCTTCATTTGTGCATGCATGGGAGCTAGGTTGTGCATGTGCAATAATTCCTCCCCCCACCCCCTCACCGCCAGTCCATGGAGCCAGAAAGATTGGGGACTACTGTACTATCAGAACAATAATACAGTATTCAAAATAACAGTTTGCACAAATTGGTTCAACACATCACTGAACCAAAATATGATTGCAGTTTTACAAATCATCTGTTGTCGTTAATAATATACTATGATTCTTCTATAGTTTAGGCTAAATATTAGCTAAGTCACTACAGTTTCTTCCACAATTCATTACTTAGCATAATCTGAGAAATATGGCATGAAATCCTGAGCCTGATGTTCAAACATTTCCAATTTCAATATTCAAGAAAAGACCAAATCATTTATTTGTTCATAAACATATCAACCACAGTTAATTCTGCAAAATATGCTAGACATAGAATATAAAGAAAAAGATATTCCAGTCTGAAGCTTGCCTGAAACTGCAGGGCAGCATTACTGAGCATTTATAGCCACTTAAATAAAGACATGTCATCTTTTCTTCCACCTTACTTCTTGGCTCCTACTGCCTTTTTCATTATCTTAAACAATACTTATAATTTGGTTTCACAAGGATAACTATGGAGTCTCATACTCAGTTAAAAAAAAGAAGCTCTGAAACAATATTTGGGCTTAACAAGAGCCTTTGGAGAGCTTCTAACAATCATAATCAAAGCCAAACACATTTTTATTGACTATGTCAGGAATGGAAGTTCTATGAACAGACACAGGAATTTTCAGCAAATCCATATACCAAATGAGATTCTGTAAAAAAAACAAGTCTCACAGAAAAAAGCAGCAAGAAGAAAGTAAAGGATATGAACCTAAACAGATGCTGTGGCCTGTTCTACCACTCCTTGAAGACATAATTTCCAATATCTATTATGACTAGAGATGAAAAAATACAGATAACCCTAATGCCAGTTGCTTCCCCCTACTAATCAACTTACTTTTTGCAGCCCAGATATGAAGCCCTCTAAAGGACTGTCTTATGAGTATTATTAAATCATGTGAAAATTAACTTCGTGTATGTTCCTTGAAATACTTTGTCAGAAATGTCCAGAATCTTCTAAGAATATTTTTTTAGAAACAAGGACCACACTACATCTGCAACGTATTGTGGGATGAGTAAAACCTTCAGTTTAGAGTCCAACTGAAAATTTCACCTACTGTACTATTTAATGGAAAGCAGTTTTTGCACAATGTTAGAATCTTGATATTATACTATTATACTGGTTTACAAAATCACTTCCAAAGTATAACTGACCCTCCTACAAACTCTCCATCCTCTCTGCCTTATTTAGTGGATCTTGGATTCAGATCATGAGAACCCACTAATTCTTTCCTTGTTACAGAAAATCATTAAACTCTGACAACTCGGGGTTCCTCCTTATGCAATTTGCAGCAAGCCAAGTATGGACCTAATCTGATCTGAACTTACTCCACTGTTGTTTTTGAAACCCCACACTGCAGCATGCCAATGTGCTATCTTTGGTCAATTGCAACCCTGCCTTTTGACTCGGAACTCCCATCAATTTCAGACAACTGACTCCACAGGTTACAGTATAAAGGTAGTCTTTTTAACCCTCTGAAAAACATAAGAGATTTCTCATAGTCATATACAGCACAACCCAGAATGGACTAATTAAACAGTCATCAGTTTTGAACCATGCATTCAAATTGGATGCTGTAACTAAACAGAAAAACAGAGTTGAAAGGGACTTTGGAGATTTTCTAATCCAACCCACTACACAAGTATAAGACCATATACTATTCTGGAAAAATGGCTGTCCAAATCTCTTCTTAAAAACCTCGTGATGGAGCACCCACAACTCATGAAAGCAACCCATTCAATGGTTAATTGTTTTGTCAGGAAATTTCTCCTTAGTTCTAGATTGCTTATCTCCTTGACTAGTTTTCATCCATTGCTTCTTGACTTGCCTTTTGGTGCTTTGGAAAATAGGTTGACCCCTTCTTCTATGTGGCAACCCCTCAAATATTGGAACACTATCTTGTCATCCTTAGGCCTTCTTTTCACTAGACTAAACATACCCAATTCCTGCAACCCTTCTTCAAGTTTCAGCTTCCAGCCACTTAGTCATCTTTTTGCTCTTTTATGCACTCTTTTCCAGAGTCTCAATTTTTTTTATATTGTTATGACTAAAACTGGATACAATATTCTGTGGTCTTACCAAGGCATAATAAAGTGGTATGAACACTTCATATGATCTTGATTCCATTCCTATGTTAATGTTAATTTGGCGGCTGCAGCACACTGCTGACTCATATTTAAGTGATTGTCCATTAGGACTCCAAGATTGCTCTCACAATTACTGCTATTGAACATCTATTTTATCCCTGTACATTTGCTTTTTCTTGCCTAGGCATAAAACTTTACTTTCCTCCCTATCTAAATTTCATTTTGTTAGATAGGGTTCAAATCTGTCGAGATCCTTCTGGATCTTGAGCATATCTTCTGGATGTTGGCTATTCCTTCCAGCTTGGTGTTGTCCATGGCAGACTGGTACTGAGTGAATGCAGAGCAGAGGCGTGAGGTAGCAGTTCTGACTATGAGTTCCACTTCTATTCCCTCATCTAAATCATTTATGAAGATACTGAAGAGTACCAGGGCTAAAACAAAATCTTGGGTACCTTGCTACTTACTTCCCTCCATTAAGGACTACATATTGAGTATGGTTTGTCAGCCAGTCCATGTGGTGGTGATGCTGTCTAACCCACATTTTTCTAGCTTACCAACAAGTGGGTTGCCTTCCAGTAAGTAGCAGAGGGTTGAATCAGTTGAAGTATTGGACCTGTTTGGGAGAAAGCTTTCGGGGAGCCTATAATGCTTCTAGGTTTTTGTGGTCAGTCCACCCCTTGAAGGGGATTTTACTGCCCTCCTGGAATTGTTCCAAGTAAGGAGGGCCCAATGGACCACATAAGTTTCCTTCTCTGATAGCCTATTATCCTTCAGTGTCAGAGAGCTTGTGTAATAGCCGCATGGTTGTAATTATCCTTTCCATTCTTCTGAAGCAGCACCATCCCCATGGCCACATCACTGGCACTTGAAATACAAAGGGCTAATCTAGGTCAGTGTTTTAGGACCACTTCGAGCTTCTTGAACGTGACTTGGCACTCCAGTGACCAGCTTAAGAGTTGGCTGGGCCTGGGTTCAGCTTTCCCTTTTGTTTTCAAAAAGTTTGTGATCAGCAGGGCTATCTGAGCAAACATGGGGATGAACTGACAATAGAAATTAGCAAAACTGAGAAAACTTTGTAGATGTCTCCTCGTTCGCACACTCCCACTCTAGGATTGCTTGGACCTTCCCAGAATCTATATGCCATTCTTTGATATTTGGTAACCTAGGTCAGGGGTCTGCAACCTTAAACACTCAAAGAGGCATTTTGACCCGTTTCCCACAGAAAATACCAGGATCCACAAAATCTGGGTGGGTGTGGCCAACTCAACATCACTCACTCCCACCCAGCCACATGACCCCCCAGCCACGCCTACCCAGGTTTTGTGATTCCTGGTATTTTCTTTTCTCTGGGAAACAGGTATTTCTCTGTCTCTGTCTCTCATCTTTCTCTCTCTCTCTCCCCCCCCTTCTCTCTGTCTCTCTCATTTCTCTCTCATCTATCTTTCTCTCTGTGTCTCTGTCACTCGTGTATCTGTGTTCCAGTGGTGAGATTCAATTTTTTTTTAACTATTGGTTCTGTGTTCTGGGTGTGGCATGGCTTGGTGGGCATGGCAGGGAAAGGATACTGCAAAATCTCCATTCCCACCCCACTCCTGGGGGAAGGTTACCACCAGTTCTCTGAACTACTCAAAATTTCCCTACCGGTTCTCCAGAACTGGTCAGAACCTGCTGAATACCACCTCTGGTGTATTCCCTCTTGAACCATTTCCAAAAATAGGTAAGGGTTGGGTTTTTTGTTGTTGATATTCTTTCTTCTTCTTTGGGTACTTTTTACCATATAATTTAAATCGAGTCATTTCAGGTTCCCAGATAAATGAAGCTCTTTTGTCCCCTTGCTGTGGCTTCTTGTCAGCTGAACCTATCACTGGCTGGCCCCACTCTCGCCCTTTCAGTCACTCCTCACCTAAGAAGGGAAAGGCGATGGTGGTGGATGGAGACTTGCTCCATATTCCAGAATGGAAGTGAAGCACCCCTCTACTTGCCTCTTCTTCCGACCCTTGTTGGTGCTGCGTGCACTTCGGTAGCTCAGGGACGCACACAACTTTCTCTCCTTCCCGAGACACTGGTCCATCCTGGCTGCAGCCGATGCTCTGCATTGTAATAGGTTTCAGGAGGAGGGGACGCCATCTCACCCATTGTAAAGTGCACTAAATTTAAGTGTGCTGCACTTAATTTAAGTGTGCTGCGCAAGGCACTGCAAGAGCAACAAGAGCAGCGGTGTCAGCCGCAGTAAGTAGAGGGGTGCAAGTCTCCATCTGCCACCATTGCCCTTACCTTCTCAGGCCAGGCGAGGAGTGACTGGGAGGGGAAGGCGAGGGGCGGTGCCAGCCAGTGGTGTGTTCAGCCGACAGGGAGCTGCAGCAGACCTCGGCCAGGTCACAATATTCCTTGGTAATCAGTAGTTCTGAGTTATTACTCTCTTTTAATGTATTGGCAGTTTCTGCTTTAACTTTCTTAACCACAAGCGTGTGGCAGTTTCTTAGCACTTTTCCTAACCCTTGCCGGTTGGATACTTTCCTTCAAATGTCTCGGTCCCAACTGACAAATGGGCTCCATTTTTTCCACCACCCCAGGCCCAGGAACATGGCCTCTGTCATCCCTGGGTCCACAATAAATCAAATAGTCTCAGTGTGGGTCCCAGCTTTTAGCTTCACAGGCTCTGTTAGGCAAGTCACTGACATTCCACCTGTTATTGAACTGTCTAGCTGGGAAGATGCTATAAGCTTCCTTAGCCTCATTCCTACCTTTTCTACCACTTGGGGGCTGACCAGACATCCGGTGCATCCTGAGTCCAACAAGGCTGTAAGGGTCCACTTTATTTCTGAGGACACCAAAATCTCCACCCTAGCAGTCAAGGGAATGATGGTGTCACCATTGGGTCATCTTCTCCTTCACTGTTGGTCTTGTAAAAGACTGGCCCTGTCTTGACAGGGGCTGGAGTTTCCTCTCCCTCGCTGTAGAGAGAGAACTCTAGGACCTGTTACCCCAGACAAGTTTTCTCTTTTGGCTTCGGCGAAGCTCTTTTTTTCTTTGGTTGGCTTGAAGAAGTAGTCATTGGCTGCAGTGCAAGACATTCAGCAGTTGGATATTCTTCCTTTCTGCAAGGAAACCAGCCGCTAAGGTTCTGGAGGGTCTTCCTCCTGCCATCGGCTTGAAGTATACGGTTAAAGGGAGTTGCCAGGATTATTGGGGTTTTCAGGGGCCCTAGGCTGGGGTAGCAATCAAAGCTCCTGGTGTCATTGCTGCATAAATCTCCATCCCTCCAAACTTCTTTCTCAACTACTCCATGGAATGGTTGAGGCCAGCAATCAGGATCTTCCAGTCAGCAGAGTTAATCACTTCGCTTTTCATCTATTGCCTCAGACTCCAGTAGGGAGTGGTCTTTGGCCTCTGCTGTCTTGCCCATGTTTGTCACCCAGCAAAACTTTGGCCTCTGGTATGTGGGCTTCCCTCACTCACTGCTTTATAGCTGTGGGTGGCTGCTCAGACTTCTGAGGTTTTTGCTTGAGGGGCGTGCTGGCAGCTTGCGTCCTGCTCTGGCTTGAAGCAGGGAGTGGTTCTTTCCAAGCCAGTATCTCTCCCTGCTTCTTTTTCTCCTCCATGTTTTTAGCTGCAGCCAACATCTTGAGGTTGACCTCCTTATGGAGTCCAGGTAGGTTATTATTAGAAGAACTGGCTTAATGTCAATCATCCCAATATGCTAGCCAGCAAAAACAAACAAACAAACAAAAAACTTCTGAGACTTTTTTTTCTCCAAGAGTATACTTTACTAAAAAGCATGTGGATACTGACATGGAAAAACCAGTTCTAACTTTGCATGTGTAAAAAGTATAAATTCCCCTCACCCGGACCTCCCATTGTCCTTTGTCCACCAATCAGTTGCACCTGGGCTCTTTTGAGAAAGATCTATCTACCTTGGACATTCGCAGAAGTGATGACCTTGGGATAGAACTTGCTCAGGCTTCCAGATGGCACACTTGCATTCCAATTTCCTTCCCAAACCATCCTAACCCTAACCCTTCCCTCTTATCAGTATTCCAACCAAACTCCCCATCCCAAATTCAGCACTCAGAGACAGAGTCCATCCAAGTAAGAATTTATTAGAGAAGTCATATTGGCACATGTGGGGAAAACCCGAATCTGAATTCCCACATTTTCCCCTGCTATACTAAAACTCACACCCAGCCCCTTACTGATGACACTCAAGTCACTTTGTCCAATCCACCTCCATTCTGAATTCCTGCCAAGTCCAGTCACTCCCCTCCAAACTCCAGCGATTCGACCTTGAGCTTAGGTGAAAGAATGTTGTTGTAGATATCCACCTTTCTCACTTTCTCATTCCCATCCTCCCTTGTGGCAGCCCCAAATATGAATCAAGATGGAGCCGGGGCTGTCAGGCTGCCTCCCCTCAAGCAATAACATCCTGAAATGAAACAAGTGATAGGAGGTTAGAATCCACCACAAATAATCACCTTTTCCTCCCACAGGGGGCCCTTTGGCTTATTGGGAAATTTCTCATGAAACTGCTTTACTAATCTATCTGCTTTTACATCCCAACCTTTTACCCAAATGGCTTAGACAAAGGGTACCCCTTTCCAATGAATCAAATATTGTAATCGACCCCTATGTAACCTAGAATCAAGAATCTTCTTTACTTCATAGTGCTCCTTCCCCTGGACCACTACTGGTTTGGGAGCTGGTCCATCTCTAGGTCTTACTTGGGAAGGGACAGCCGGCTTCAGTAAGCTGCTATGGAAAACGGGATACATCTTCCCCAATAAGCAAAGGAGTTGCACAGTTATTGGTTTTATAATTTTCACTATAGGAAATGGGCCTATGAACTTGAGACCCAGTTTCTTGGTGGGCAGTCTCAGCCTAAGATATTGAGTAGACAGGTAGACCCTGTCGCCCACTTTGAAAGGGACTTGTGGCAAGCAGTGTTTATCTGTTTGACACTTGTACTTCTCAGCGGTTTGGGCGAGTGTGTGCTTGGTATTCTCACCCCTCCCATAGTGAGTCCATCAAGGTGGGAGGCTCTCTAGGCAGTTCAGGCATTGGCACAAAGTCCATTCCACTAGTAACCTGGAATGGGGTTAAGCCAGTGCTACTATGGGCTGACTTGTTATAAGCCACCTCAGCAAATGGCAGCAGCTTGACTCAATTGTCCCATTGGTAAACTACATAACACTTCAGGTATTGTTCCACCATTGCGTTGGTTCGTTCCGTGGCCCCATTTGTACTTGGGATGAAAAGCTGAGCTCAACCCTTGCAAGGACCCTACGGACTGTAGGAACTCCCTCAAGAACTTAGCAGTAAACTGCACTCCCCGATCAGAGATGATTCATCGCGGCACTCCATCCACTAGTTTGGAGTAAACCAGGCAGTTTCCCTAGTCGCATTTTCATCACTACACGGGTAGAGCAACTCCTGACATAATCCTCTACATCAGTTTTTATCTTTGGCCACCATAATTGATGTTGCACCAAGTGGAAGATTTTTAGGAACCCAAAGTGTCCAGCCAGCCTTGAATCATGGCATTGTTGCAGCACTTTCAGTCTTAGGCTGGGGGGGACGTACAACTTGGGACTCTTCCAGGCCAATCTACCCCGCATCGTCAGGACATTGGGGTTGTCCTTCAACCATTGGTCCACAGGGATAGAAGATTTAATCTCTGCAGAGATTGGGTCAGTCATGGAATCTCCGACTCCTAGCTTGGGTTCGGGTAGTGACCTGAGCTGCTGGCTGCAATTGGAGCACCACTGCATGTGTTACTTTTTTCCGCTTACTGTTAAACTAAGGCTTCCTTGATAATGCGTCAGCTAATTTGTTCTTTTTGCCTGGAATATGTTTTATTTCAAAATTGAATCGTTTGGATACTGAGCCCAGTGGTCTTGGCTTAGGGCAGCGGTCACCAACTGCTGGTCGGCGAGAAAATTTTGGTGGTCTGCAGAAAAATTATTTGCATTTTTTATATTGCACTAAATCAGAGATCATTGCTAGATACGTGCAATGAATGTTTGTGTTGCTGCAGAAAGTTTCCCCCTTTGGGATCTTTTTGTGCTGGTCAGAGAGGGGCAAAAATTCCAACTTGGGTCTGCTTCAGCCTCCTGGTGCTTTGGGCAAAGACTGGAAGGAAGTGTGGCTGGTGGCAAAGAGCCGGAGAGCCTTGTTCCAGTGGGACTGCATCATGGCCTGGAACTGGCTGACCATCTCAGCCTGTTGAACTTCCAGGTGATGGTACCTGGCCTTGCACTCCTGCAGATCTTCCCTCTGCTTGGAAAGCCTATGTTTGTAGTCCTCAGTGAAGTGCTTCTGCTGAGCCTCTTTATCAATCAGATCCAATTTGAATTGAACCAGCTGATTTGCCACCTCTTTCTTGTGGTGGCTGCTTAGCTCCAAAAACTGCTTCCTGTTGGGGCCCTAAAGAGCCCAGGCAGGCAGGCGAGGAGTGGCTGGAAGAGGCGAGGAGAGGCCAGTGAGGCGCCCCTTGATGTGAGTGACATCAAGTTGGCCACACCCACCCAGTCACAACCACCTAGCTACATTAGGTCATTAGGCAGATCATATTAGTGGTCCTCAGGATTTAAAATTATGAATTTAGTGCTCCCTGAAGTCCAAAAGGTAGGTGACCCCTAGTTTAGGGGACAGCTTTTGCAGAGTTTTCAGCGCCTCTAAATTTTTATGATGTCCAGACTTCAAAAAGCTCCCTTCTCCCCTTCCAAGAAATGCTTCCAGGAGAGGAGGGCCCATCAGACTGTGAAAGCCTCTTTCTACCATATGGCCCACTGTCTCTCTATGTCCGTCAATTTTTTGGACACATAGGTGCAAGGTTGCAACTGATCCACCGAGTTTTTCTGGCAACATCACTGGCGTCAGCTTGCACTACAAATGGCTTGTTGGGATTGGGGTGCAACAGGATTGGTTCTTTAGAAAAAAGTCCTTCAGTTCCTCGAACGCCCGCTGACACTCAAGGGCCCAGCTCAGCAGCTGGTTGGGCTTTGGTTTGGGGTAAGTTCCCTTTGTTTTCAACAATTCAGTTAGTGGTAATGCGATCTTAGCAAATGCAGGAATGAACTGTTGGTAAACGTTTGCAAACCCCGAGGAACTCTGCAATTGTTTCCAGGTGAGAGGGGGTTGCCAGTCAAGCACCACCTTGACTTTGGCCAAGTCCATCTCAATCCCCTCGTTGGATATTTGGTAGCCTAGGGAGGTTTCATGGAATTCGCATTTTGACAGCTTAACATAAAGTTTGGCATTGAGCAGGTTTTTCAACAGTTGTTGCACCAGTTTTACATGCTCTTCCACAGTCTCAATGTAAGTAAACTAGGAGCCCCTGATAAAGATGCTCATGTAGTACCTCATTAATAAGTTGCATAAATACTGTGGGGCTCCCTGCAGTCCAAAAGACATCACTTTGAACTGGAAACTACTGAGCGGGCAATTGAATGCAGTCTTCCATTCATCGCCTTCTCTTATTCGGACCCAGTAGTATACCTTTCACAGGTCTAGTTTGGTAAATACTTTGCCTTTTGCCAGATGGTTTAGCAGGTCCTTCATTAGAGGGAGGTAGTAAGCGTTTTGTACGCAGACTGCATTTATTCCATGAAAATCAATGCAAAGTCTCACACACACACAATCTTTCTTTTCTTTGAATAGCACACGGGGGCTGCAACCTGTGAATTCGCTGGCTGGATGAACCTCCTGGCTATGTTGGAGTCAATGTATTTTCTTAGTTCATCCATCTCCCTTGGGGACATTGAGTACATTTTTGGCTTGGGTAATTTCGCCCCAGAGATGAATTCTATAGTGCAGTCTGTGGGTTGGGTGGGGGGGAGAGAAAGTTGCATTCCTCCTCATTGAAAACCTCTGCCAAATCCTAGTATTCTTTGGATATGTGTGGGAAATCTGGTGGTGCCTCATTAGTGGAAGCCACCCTCTTCTTCTGGCTGCTGTCACTGGGTCCTAAAGGCTGCTTGTTCTCGGACTGGAGGGGGGAGGTTCGGGTCCTATGCCTATCCTTATTTTGCAGTAGCTGTCTTCCCATTTGATGGTGGGATCCCACCTGTCTAAACAAACTAATCCAAGAACAAGTGATGGGTTCCCAGCTGTCCAACTGGCACTTAAGAGTTTTCTCCTGCGTAGCCCTGCATTGGGGGTTAATTTCTAAGTCCATTGCACCGCCATCTGGTACCAAGCTTGAATTCGGTCGAGTATACCTCAGATCGTGCAAGCCTCCCTAATCTCTAGATCCAAAGCTTCCTTAAAGTAATGGACAAAGAGTCTTTTGGGCCAGCTTCACAACCTTCTGGCTACTCTTCTAAACTCACACACCTAAATTCTTTAGGTGATAATTTCAGTCCTTTGATTTCTGCTTCAGCCTCCTCCTGGTTCACTGGGTCTTTCAATTGTGCTCTCAAAGACCACACAAATTCGTCCACATCTTCTAACTCAGGGGCTCCTTCATCATAGAGTTGGGCGATCCAATTGGCCACTTCCCCTTCTCTCATGTTATCTGCAATGGCTGTAATCATGTTCTGGTCTGATTGGTATTGTGCCCATAATGATCAATGTGAGCCCAAATCCAGTTGAGGAAGTAGGGTAGTTTGCCTGGGGTGCCATCAAAGGTGACTGAGAATAGTGGTGGGGCAGCTGCTGGAGGGGGTGCAGCTGCGGCTGGAGGAATTGGTGGTGGAGCTGGAGCCAGCTTCCACTGGTACTGGATCTACCCGTGTCTGGGATAAAAAGCCCAACCAGGTGGAACCTGGTCCACGGGCAGCATCCCTGGAGGTGCTGGTGGGGCTTGTTGGACAGGCCTGGTGCGCTTCCTGGCCTGCCTCTGATCTCAGGGCTCGATCAGTCCGGTGGCATTGGAGGTCATCCTGCCATGGCAGATGACTGGGCTACCGCCGCAGTGGAGGGACTTTGCTGCTGGGACCCGGGGCTTGGGCCAGCCACTGCTGAATGAAATGAAGTGGATGTTCCGCTCTGGAGTGCCGTGCTTCCAGATCCCAGAACGTTGAAAACAGGCTGTGGCAGCACCCATCTAAGCTGAACCACATGTGGGGAGGTTTGGACCGTGGGATCCACACTCAGCAGTTCGAACTTTTCAGGTAACCCAGCTAGCGACTGGCTCCATGACAGCTCTTGAAACTTGCCAGCCTCTAGGGACCACTGTACTCTCCATTCATAGGCAACTCTGGTTCCCAGTTGCCACTCTGCTCCCAGAGGTGGGGGAACACCAGTCACTTGTTCTGGGTTTGAACTGTGTGGCTGGTCCTGCCAGCGGGGTCTGCCAAGAGGTTGGTTCCTTGGGTCTCATGTCTCTCCAGATTTCAGTTTGCGCGGCCTCGGCTGTGACCACTTCTGCCTCTGAAGGGTAATACCGGGTTTTGCAGGCTTTCCCTGGCACAGGTCCGGTGGCTCCTTCAATGGTCTTTGGTTCTTGCTCCATCTTCCCTGAGACTTTACACCCCCAGTGTTTTGGGGGAGCATCTTGGGGCTCAGGACTCCGGACAGCGGCATTGCTCTTGCAAAAGCTACTGTAATTTTCTTTTAGGCTATTCGGGTTAATGTCAGCATTCCAACCAAACTCTCCATCCCAAATTCAGCACTCAGAGACAGAGTCCATCCAAGTAAGAATTTATTAGAGAAATCATATTGGCAGATGTGGGGAAAACCCAAATCTGAATTCTCGCATTTCCCCCTGCTACACTAAAACTCATACCCAGCCCCTCACTGATGATCCTCAAGTCACTTTCCAATCCACCTCCATTCTGAATTCCCGGCAAGTCTAGTCACTCCCCTCCAACTCCAGCAACTCGACCTTGAGCTCAGGCGAAAGAATGTTGTTGTGTAGCTATCTTCCCTTCTCATTTCTCTTTCATTCCCAGTTATCCATCCTCCCTTGTGACAGTCCCAAATCTGAATCAAGATGGATCCAGGGCTGACACCCTCCCCCTCCCACTATTGTTGTCTGGTTGCAAGCAGTGAACAGGGTATCAATTTAGTGTGTGGGTGCTCCATCTGTGGAGGTTTTCAGGAAAACATCGGGCAACCATTTGTCCAGGATGGTATAAGGGATGCCTTGGGCAGGAGTTGGCCTAGCAGACTCAAAGGTCCCTTCTAGCACTATGAATATATGAGAATAAATAACTAAATACACCCACACCCATAGACATTAAACTCAATTTTAAGCAAAATAAACATGGTCAGTCAAATAAGAAAAGGTTTATAAAACTTTCAAAAGATTAATGTCATATTTTAAAAAGAGGGGGCTATTAAACTAACAGAATAAAAATATTTGCCAGCCAAACTTTAATTATATAGCCTCAAATAGGCTGGGACTTTGAATAATCAAGATAATACTTCTGATCTTCCTTTACCAGCTTAAGAAAAGTAATTCAGAAAGGACTCTACCAGGGGCCTCACACCCTTGTGCACAGGTGTGGGAAATAGTTCCTGAATCTATTATCAAGCACACAGCACAACAAGAGTATAAGCTGTAGTGAGTCTTTGGATGTTCCTTACATCCTACTTGTTTATCCTCATTAGTTTATTCATTAGGCTCCATCATAACCCCAAGAAAATCCTGAATATAAACAAAGTTATAAGCTTAGTTTATACAAGAATATAAACTTAGTTTTGCATCTTTTCTCTTTTATTTTAAAAATAGTGGTGAAGATAAAACAGGGTATTTTATGTTGCTTTGCTTGAGAAAGTCAGATTTCAACGCACCATTATTGCTAACTTTGAATTCCAGATCTCAGTTGATACAAATTAAAGTCCATAATTACAGCCTTGTTAAGAAGAGTTATGTGGAAAAGGTCAATCACAACCTCTGCCATTCTCCCCACAAGAAGATTCACACTGTTCAGAATACTCTGATTTGGAGAATACAATACTTTCATTTATTTCATGTTAAATACAGAATATCTTTTTTACTGGAATTGTACTAATGTTACAGGATTATACACACTCAACCTGCAAGCACTCACAATCCTATATTTACCTGCCATTTCCCACTACACAAGCATGCAGAACAAAAGCAAAAAAAAAAAAATGTATGGTTTAAGTTCCCTCAAGTAAACCACAACTTATTTCTTAGTAAGCTAGTAAAATATGGACAGACAATATCACTATCAGATGGATTTGTAACTGGCTGACAAACTGCACTCAATGAGTACTCCTTAATCGTACTACTCTACATGGAGGGAAGTGAGCAATGGGATGCCACAAGGTCCCATCTTAGGACCAGTTCTCTTCAATAGTTTCATAAATGACTTAAATAAGGGAATAGAAGGGGAACTCATCAAATTTGCAGATAACGCTAAGTTGGCAGGAATAGCCAACACCCTAGAAGACAAGCTCAGGATTCAAAAGGATCTTGACAGACTTGAATAATGAGCCCTACACAAAATGAAATTTAATGTGGAGAAAAGCGTGGTTTTACATTTAGGCAGGAAAACCAAAGATACAAGTATAGATTAGTTGAAAGCTGACTCAAAAACAGTAACTGCAAGAAGGATCTTGGAGTCATACTGGACGATTACTTAAATATAAGCCAGCAGTGTGTGGAAGCAGCCAAAAAAGCTAATACAATCCTTGGCTCCATAAACAGAGGCATAGAATCAAAATCACATGAAGTATTAGATCACGTTATAAAACCTTAGTAAGACCACATCTGGAATACCATATCCAATTTTGGTCACATTACAAGAAGGATATTGAGACTTTGGGGAAAGTGCAACTAAGATGATTAAACGCCTGGAGACTAAAATATATGAAGAACAGTTGCAGGAATTGGATATGGCTAGTCTAGTGAAAAGAAGGGCTACAGGTGACATGATAGCAATGTTCTAGTATTTGAGGGGCTACCACAACAAAGATGAGGTCAACTTATTTTTCAAAGCATCAGAAGGCAAGACAAGACAAAATGTATGGAAACTAATCAAGGAGAGAAGCAATCAGGAATTAAGGAGAAACTTCCTAACAGTGAGAACAATGAAGCAATGGAACAGCTTGCCTTCAGAAGTTGTGTGCTTCATCATTGGAGGTTAAGAAGACAACCATTTGTCTGAAATAGTCTCCTGCTTGAGCAGGAAGTTGGACTAGAACAGGGATCTCCAACCTCTGGGCAGCAGCCCACCTGCGGGGTGTTAGGCATTGGCAACCTGGCCGCAGAAATAGCAGGCAAGCACACATGCACATCCCTATTTGTACAAGCAGTGGGCATGTGCATGAGTGCTCCATTTGCATCAGCTGTACACACGCTTGCCAGATACTCACACGGAAGCTTCCCCTCTCCCCCACATCGGTCTGCAAAGTCATAAAGGTTGGAGAACTCTGGACTAGAAGATCTCCAAGGTCCCCTCCAGCTCTATTCTGATTCTATTTTAAGCAATACAATATTCTATTTGGCTTTTGTATAAGATAAATACAAAAATTAATTCAATGAAAAGATATTGTGCAACTTTAACAGAAAAGCTACCAGACAGAGGTAGCTACTTTGAAGTTCCATTATTCAAACATTCCTAATTTCCAGTCAGGCCTTTTATGCAGGTATAAGGATCTAGACAGCAGGATTGAGAACATCAAGATTTCCAAGAAATTTTCCTGCTCACAGAGAATTGCCAATTCAATGGGAGGGCAGAAACAAGACTTATAAGCTCAGCAGGAATCCTTTTATTACAGAATATTAATACAATGAAGCTTTGTCTCTGGAAAGCATAAGAGACCAAGGCAGGAATGAACAATGGCTCATACTTAATTTGATTAGAAAAGGAAGGGTTAGCTCAAGACCAGGAGGAGAGGGGGGAAAAACCCAAAAGCATTTGTCTGGCATGTAAAAAACAGAATTCAGATCCTAGAAAAGAGAGCCTTGCCTTTTCAAGATACTGCCTTTGGAAGATATTCAATGCAAATGTCTCCCGTGCACATTAATTAGGCTGTCAAGCTGGGCCTCTCTAAGTTCTTTGTGAGCAATAAAGGAGATAGCAGATGTGCCCTAGAGCTTCCATACACACATCACAAAAGGACTAAATGCCTGGTAAAATCAAGGGATTCAAAAGGCTGCCATAGAACTGTCACATCAGAGCTGGATTTATGAGTTGAAGAGATGCTTTCCCCACCACACCACTCTTTTTAAAATGCACACCATTTTGGACTTGCAGTTAAGTTTACACAAATACTCAATGGTTATGATATAAAAGAGTGGGCCTTCAATAGTTTGATTTTGCAACACAGAACTTGGGATTTAACAAAAAACATGTGGAAAATAAAGTAAGCAATAATATGAGGTACAGATCAATTGACAGTTCATTGACAGTTTCATGACAGACTAACTTTTTAATTGCATCAAGATGCCTACGTATATTTGTCAGAGCAGCACTCCCTACTCTTATGATGATGATGACTTTGATGATTTTACACACTTCTTTAAAATAGCCATTATATATTTGAACTCCCCAAGACTCTAAATGTCAAAATCTGTTAAATTTTTCAATCATAAATATACTGTATATTTGCAAAATATTATTGAAAGCTGACAATAGTTTAGAACTGATGTTCTCCACCATACATTTTGGGCTGAAGTGCCTTCCATTGATCATCTTGCTACTGTTAAAGCTTCAAATAGAAAGCTTTAAGCTGCCTTTCCATAATTGTGAAACGTGAAAATTTATTTTGGAAATTACAACCCTACTGCAAAAGTGTTTGAGATATTTAGAAGCATGACAATTTCTGACCAATTCATCAGATATTTTAAACTTAAATAAGACAATTTTTATTTACAAATGTCAAGACTTCTATTTAGAGATTTACCTTTAAACAGGAGACATCAGCACATTATATATGCAGACTCAATTAGTCAAGGATTCCTAAGATAAAAAATTAAAGATATTTTACTCATTGTAATTAAGGAAGTTGATTATTCCAGCTAATTGATATGGTACAGAAATGTGAAAATATGCCTTCAATGCTCATTTTAGCTGACTGAAGTTAAATTCAACATACCTGAAATACAGTTCTCTATGTTGTGTATGAAAGTCTTTATCTGATATAAAATCTTTTCTGTTTCCTCGGTGTAAGTAGAACTGTAGTGCACATTTAATCCCCATATTATAGGTTCCTCCCTCCCCAATACTCCAATTCCTAACCCAACCAGGGTAGGTAAATAAACATTTACCCAAGGTATATAACATTATTTAACACCCTTAAAGTTTGTTTGTTAATGACAAAATGTTAATAATATTTTGTCATATTATATTCCACTTACATTTAAGAAGTTACATTGGTCTTTTGCTTTTTGTCTTTGCCTGATTCTTGTTTTATGGTGGTCATTGACTGAGATAAAGACTAGAAGATATAGTTTTAATTTTTAATAACTGTAAAAGCATGTCACCTCAAAGCAAGCCAGCAAGCCAAACTTAATTTCAAGTTCTGATTTCAGACTCCTATTTATTAGTGTAGCCATAAAATCGTAGCCATCAAATGGCTATATACTAAGGTCCTCTAGCAAATTCCAGATTACTGATTCTACTCTTAAAAGACACAGTACAATAGAGGCATCAGCATGCTAACTCTTGAAGAATACACTTTGATCCTCCAGAAGTATAGTCCATTATTTTGGCAAAGACAACCACTGTTTCAGCATACCTGAGCAGAGAACTATGAAACTGCAATTATTTCAGTACTTTGCACATTCTTTTCTCCCAGATCAGATCTAAATATAATTATAGAGACATTTTGAAATGTTTCCATTCAGTAAACTGCAATTATTACAAAAATTAATCATAATTTTACTAAGAGATATCTAACATAAACAATTGCCTTAGCTTTAAGTATTATTAAACCAAACCCTCTTCCAATAATTTCATTACAAACACAGGTGGCTTTTAATAACATATAGACAGTATTCTTTTTATATTTTCACATTTTTCTTTTCCTTGTGCAATAAAATTAATTACAATTCTGTATTCTTCTCCAGAGAAACAATGAGGAATGACGAGGCTGTCTTTTTTAAAAAGGCTACCCTTTTTAATTGGCAAACAGTATCCAGCAAAAGTTATTCCTCCTCCCTTTTATTGTGTTTTACATTTGGAATTTCTGAGATTCAAACTCTGATACATGCAGAGAAGAAATATAAAATGCAATGGCCCTTGATTTAACAGATCCCTATGTAATAAACTTCAAATGTCACAGACAACAGCATCCCTCCCAAAATAATGAACTGCATTCAAAAACTTACATTGCTGCAAATGACATACTTTGGGGATATAACAGACATTCAGAAATAGTGGACACACACACACAAATATTAATCAAGGATTTATTATAGCACTGTTTCCAGATAGTATTCACTGCTAAATTGACATCTGCCATTACAAAATTAATTGCCTTTTTCTTAATATGATACTAATTGTCTCTAACCTGAACTGATATCCTTAAATGTTACTAAGAAGTAATTATTTCAAGGGGACTCATAGATAACAGCTTATTTTGAACTGAGAATATTTAAAGATAGACCTCAGATTATTGATCATAAAAATATGAAAGACTGAAATATCTTGGCTCAAATTCTGAGATACAATTAACAACATAAAATGATTTCCATGGAAAATTTACGTTATATATGATATTCCTCTCTATATTTCTGAAACGTATTTTCAAAAATCTAATGGATTACTCCAGAAGCTTATCTGTAGAAATTATTCCTCTCATTTTTCACTTAGAAAGCTTGAATTTTCATTAAAGGGTTTATTGTTTAGATTAAAAAAAACCACATACTGTAACTTTCTTCTTGGTTAACAAATAGCAAGCTTTGTGATTTGAAATTGGGCTTTGGAGTCAAATTTGAAATTAGCACATTTGACATATTTAATAAGTTGAAGGATGTTGGAGTCCAAAAGCTGCAGTGGCTTCACTGAAACGGCAAAATGTAAGATCTAGGAGTATGAAACTGCTCCTCCTAAATTAGCAACAATGGAGCTACTCAGGGATAAAAAAAATATGTAAGCCTTCAAGAATTGTTGACCTACAACTCACAACTGTCTAAGCTGTTTAAGATAGCTGGGTGTTGTACCTAAGCGATATCTGGAGGGTCAGAGTTACTCTACCCTTGATTTCAGTTACAATAACATATAATAGCTGAACTCAAAATCTTCAGCTCTAGGGATGACTACAATGGAATGGAATGTAGAATGGTTCTGTTTCCATTGGACTGTCAAACTTTCTTGTAGGTTATGCCATTCTAGAGGTGGTTCAATGAATCCCAAAGTGGTTCAGAATCAGATTATGGTGCTTCAGACACTGTGTTCTAAACAAAACTTTATCTGCTTTCAAAATATGGGAAGAGGTTTAGAATGCTCCCAAGGAAAGGAGAACTTAGCTATTCCGCTCATAGTTAACTTAGCTAGCATCCACTCTACAACAAAATGAATTTATATAAGTGATCGACTTTAGCTCAATTCTGGATTTCCTCATGGGAATTACAGTATTGTATGTTTCTTCTAATAGTTTGAGTAGTCTCTCAAAGAAGTAATCCCTAAATATGTTCAGAAACTCTACACATACAAAAAAAATAAAATCAATTCCCTTTGGACAATCTCATGAAGGAAAATTTCAAAGTCTACCTAACATACAAAAAAGCCCAGAACTTTTCAAAAGTCATCCATCTTATCTACAATTTGGAGTCCACAAATTATCCTAGCAGGGGCATGCTTAATCCAACTACAAGGATCCACTTTACATGCTAGTTTAGTCATTTCTTACACTATCCCTGGTAAAATTGCCACTTAATGACTTTAGATCAGGGGTCCCCAACCACCGGGCCCTGGACTGATACCGGTCCGTGGATCACTTTGTACTGGGCCGCAAAGAAATAAAAATAAAAAATAAAATAAAAATAGCGGCTTTCTTCGCCTTCGGTGAATGCTGCTGGGATCAGGGATCAAGAACACAAAGGAGAGAAGGGGAGGGAGGAAGCAACCGAAGCCTGTCCTGCTCTCCAGCTCAACGGCTTCGGTTTCCTCCCGCCTCGTTCCTCTCTCAGTCGCTCTCTTGCTCCTCCACCAGCCCAGGAAGAAACTGCTTCAAAGAAGCTGGCAGGGTGGCTTCCTGTCAGCGCAGCTCCTCTGAAGCGCCCGTTTACCCCCACACAGCCGCCCACGGTTCAATCCAGTGCTCCGTTCTGCCTGCCTGCCTGCCTTCGTTTCTGGTTGTTTTGGAGCAGCTTTGGCTGAGAATAATAACTGTTCGCCTCTTTTTCTCAGCTGAAGCTGCTCCGAAACAATCAGAAACGAAGGCAGGCAGGCAGGCAGAACGGAGCTGTGTGGGGGTGAATGGGCGCTTCGGAGGAGCTGCGCCGACAGGAAGCCACCCTGCCGGCTTCTTTGAAGCAGTTTCTTCCTGGGCTGGTGGAGGAGCGAGAGAGCGACTGAGAGAGGAACGAGGCAGACACCTGAGGGATGAGGCTGAGGGAGAGAGGGAGACACCTGAGGGATGAGGCTGAGGAAGGCAGGGCTGAGAGGCAGGGCTTCTCAGCCGTCCTGCAGGGACTTGTCCTGAGCCACGGAGACAGCCGTGGGCCGCCACCGCCCAGCGGTGTCGCTCTGTCGCTCAGGGTTGCAATGAGGAGGCATTGGCGCTCCCTGAACTTGGTGGTTTGCTGGCAGACGTTTTATTACCCGACTAGGTAACAACATCAGATGTTACCTAGTCAGGTAATGAAACGTCTGCAAGCAAACCACCAAACTCGGACTCCCCCCCCCCCCCCCCCGCTCCTTGAAAAAGTGTTTCTGCGTGAAACTGGTCCCTGGTACAAAAAAGGTTGGGGACCACTGCTTTAGATGTTTTCTCACTTGCTCCAAAAACTGAAGGCAGTTAGTGAATAGACAATGCTGCTATCTCACACCAGCATTGAACAGACAAAATGTAGATTAAAGTTTCCCCATTATATCCTCATTCATTCGTTAGACCAAGTCACCCAGTTTGAAAAAGTGGCCTCCTCACTATCCCAGACCTATAGATATACTTTCTGCATTCATGTGAGGAAGTGTAAAAATAATTGCTTGCATACAAGAGAGAGAGAGAGTTCAACAGAATTACTATAGTATTTAAAATTTCTGTCATTCTAATTACTCAGTTCAGATTTACTAAATAACTAAATACTTTGTATACAAGTCTCCACTTATCATGTTATAATATCAAAAATTGTCAAACAATACAGAAATCAGCATACAAAGTATTTTGAACCCACCTAATATGTTCAAGTTATGGTATGATTCTGATTGAATTACAGTAATTGAGTCACAGTGCAGAACACTATATACACTGCAGTATTCACATTTACATCCACTATAGCCAATTAAACACTATGAAGTGTCTAAACACATTATCAAGCAAAAACCACAAATGTAAGTATACACGTTAGTCTGTGAAACTAGTTGTTGATTCATCATACTGAACAGCAATGATATTCATTGATTGCAAAATACCTGTTTGTAAAAGACACCAATATTGAAGGCGACCAACTATGGGATGCACACTCAATGTAGCCATTTGATGCTCAATTATATCAACATACAGATCCAAGTCAGACCCCACTGAAGGGATAAAAATGTAGCAATACTTATTATTACAAAAAAGTGTAATACTAGCCAAATTGTCTCAAGGATTAGAGGGAGAAATACTAAAAGGTAGTTCATAATGAACAAATATAATAATTCAGAATGGTTATTATGAGATTTATGAAACAGTTTCAGGAGTTATTAATGCTGTGTTCTTAAAAAGCTGTTTTACGCTCAGTATAAATTAAGGTTTTTTACATGTACTCCTCCTGTACCTACAAATATTTTTTACAATGTGATGTTCAAAAAAGAGCATTCAGGAAAACAACTGTTCATTCAACCCACAAGTTTGTAAATTTTCCTCTCAATTTGCCAACGTAAACAGTTCTAAAATGCACTTTTCCAATCCCAATCCCATTAAAGCATAATCTATTTTTTTAATTACCCACAAACCTATTTTTTCTAATTTACTTTTCCCTGTTGTGGTATCACAATATATAGGCCGTTAAGTGTATGGCTTACTAGTCTTTAATTATTGTGACTTTTGGGAATATATGGGATGGCAATTAACTTTTGACAGGTTAGTTTAAAATACTTCAGATTAATCCTGGCATTACATTATTAACAATGTTTTAAATCCTGGAATTTCTCAGACTGGTGCAATATTATTAGAAGTTTGGGGCAACAGTCACGGAGCATTTACTTGGTTGAAACATAAAAAGCCATGGGGTATTCTTTATTTGCCTACAAACGAAATTAAATGGACTGTTCTCCAAGGGAAGCTATGGCTCGTTAGCACGGAAATTCAAAAAACTCCGGAATATGCCGCGACCCCCACCTATTTTCCCTGATGAAACTTGGTCTCCTTCCTATAAGCTACCATGTTGTAGTATAGATATGAATTACTCTTCGCACATGTTCAGAAACCTTTGGCCTTTAAACACTGGGGCGACAGACCGCTCTCTCTCGCGATCTCAAGCAGAAGCGATGACGAGAAAGCAGCTCCAAGAAGTAGCTGGCTGTTCCTCCGCATCTCCTCACCAGTTGTCCCTCCTACGACTCATTCATTCATTCATTCTTTTCTTTCAGTCATCCAACCTTCCCTCTTCACGCGACTAGGCCCCCACCGGCCCGCTTGTCGGCGAGCATGCCCGCCAACTCAGTCCCATTTCGCCACTCACGGCTATACAAAGCGAGGCCAGCGGCGTCAGGCCCGGTGCGAGCCTCGAGACGCAGCGCCTGCTGTTCTTGGTGCCGCTGGATTTCCCCGTTGGCATCGCCGATAGTCAGGAGCCGCACACCAGGGAAAACCGATACTACCGCCGCCGCCATCTTGGCATCCCAGGCCCGCTTCGCGGCGGCGGCTGTAGTCAAAGCCCGAAGGCGACGAAGGAAGGCGTCAGAGAAGGAGCGGCCGGAAGCCGTGCCTTTTGAGCCCAGCTAGGCTGGACGAGCAGGGAGCGGACGCGCCCTCTACTGGTCGGCGGGGATAAGGAAGGGGATGCGCTTCAGAGAAGGACAACGAGTGGCCAATAGGCCTGGGAAAGCGAGGCGCTGCCTGTTGACAGGATGGCAAGCTAAGAGATTCAGATGATGTGAGTAAGACGAAAGAGGACTAGTATTCAGTGCCGTTGAGACAGGGGTGGGATTCAATTTTTTTTAACAACCGGTCCTGTGGGCGTGGCCTAGTTGGTGGGTGTGGCTTGGTGGTCATGTGACTGGCTGGGTGTGGCCAACTCAACATCACTCACATCGAGGGGCGCAGGGGTGCTTCTCGCCTCTCGTGACTGGGAATGCTGCAATGGTTATAAGTGTGAAAAATGGTCATAAGTCACTTTTTTCAGTGTCATTGTAACTGTGAATGGTCACTAAATGAACTGTTGTAAATCAAGGATTACCTGTACAAAAATACAAAAAACTTCTTTGCTTGCCCTAAATACCAATCATTAGATTAGAAATACCTGCAAGCCAGAGTTACAAATCAGGCAGAGTGCCAGAGCACCTTGAGGAATTAAAATAGTTAAAATGCAATGATAACTATCAGCTGCCAACTCTTGCTCATAAAGTGAAACCCTTTAGCAGAAAGGTCATTTAAGCTCTCCAGAAAGAGTACACCCAGGAGAAGCAATCCTTACATCCATTTGCACCACTTAAAGAAACCAGCTGGTCTCACTCACCTCATCCAGATTTAAGGAAAGAGCACATGCCCCCCAAAAAGGCAGTAAAAAAAATCAGTGCCAAACTTGCATCCTGCCTCTTGGAAGTACACTCCAAAAGGACAGTGCCAGGAACTACTAAAGCAGTGAAGGAAGACCCCCTTCCCAGATAAAGAAAGAAACAATGAGGCAGGAAAAACTTCAAACACAATACAAATAATTAAATCACAACAGTAGCTGTTGCTTGTTAAATCAATTACCAGAACAAATAGACACAGGAACTAGCCAGATTTCTCAACACAGTTTCTTTTCAGGAACAGAGATTAACCTTTTTCCTTCCGAACAAAGTTGAATAGGGAAAATTATCCAATCAATAAACCATGATTAAACATCACTAAGCACCAGTTTAGACCAAAACTCAGAAACGGTATGTAACTCACATTTGAATGTCAATCTAGCTAGCCAAGAAGCCTTGTTGAATGTCACTCATCTTGGTTCCTTGTCATTAAAGTTTCTTTCCGGCAGCTCTGCTTCGTTATTCAATTATTTCTTCAAAGTGCTGATTGTCCAAGGGAGTATTTCCTCCCAACAGCAGTGTAAAAAGCTTAAAACAACTCTTCCCCTTTAAGACAGTCAAGCCCCAGAAGCTCCAGAGACAGGAAGTCTAAGCGTACTACTATCAAGAATGTAATAAGGATTAACAGAGAGGCAGTTTCTGTAAGCAACAACACCAGAATGTTTCCTTCCTGCCTTCCTTACAGGATTAGCCCTGTAATGTTGAAAAAAACGAAAGGAGATGTCTTCCAACAACTGATTTTCCAAACTGCTTACAAAGTTAACAACAGGTTCTAGTGAATAGGTGAGAACCGGTACAATCCCACCCTGCATTGAGAGAAAGTTGGCATGAGAAACTAGGTTGCAAATTCCCAGTTACAGATATTTCCTTGTTTCTCTTTGCTGCCACACAATAAATATATGGAGTTTTGCACTCCAGTCATGCTAATAGTAATCTGTACATTGGAAGATTGTGTATCCACAGAG